ACAATTTAAAGACCCCAGAAGGCTGTGCCCGTGCAGTGAGACCTGCATGTGCCTGTGTCCCGGGCTGTGTCCGGGCTCCGGGGCCAGAGGACAGGAGAAGACCCAGGTGGTCGGTTCCGTTAGCCCATGGCTTTGGATGCAGCCAAGGCAGCCTTCCCAGCTGTGCTACCACAGCGCCCCCTGCCGCCGCGTGTGTGACGCAGGTGAATGGGTTTCTCACGCCCTCCATTGGCCTCAGCTGGCAGCGTGGGCAGGAGGCCTCCCAGGGCCCCAGCTCAGACCGCGTCCCACCCCGAACATTCAGGTCCCTCGCCCGGCGCCCACGGGAGCCAGGAGCACGCACTTGGTAGAAGGAGCAGGAGACCCAGGTAACAATGCTTTAAACTTTCTGAGAAGCATTTTGGTACGTTAACACCCCATGTAAAAACAGAGACTGTTTGTAAGAAAAGAAACCCTAAAAATCTAGATTTATATCGTTTTTTATCAGCTCCGCGCCCTCCGCAGTGTTTCATTAGGGAAAAGAGAGGCTAGCTTATTTTTGGATGGAAATTCTGGGGAGACCCGGGACACAGGGCGATCATGACCCCCTGCCGGACAGGACTGGCTTAGGGGGTTAACAGTGGGTCTGGGGGAGGGGGGGGAGGGTAAGGGGGGTGGATGTAGACAAGTGTAATCTGGAAGCTGTGATCTTCCTCTGGCCGTCCGGGGCCTGGCCGGTGAGCACAACCTCACACACCTGGTCTCACTGACGGGAAGCAGCCCCGTGGTTTGTGGTTCGCCCGTTGCATTTCAAAGGACGTCTCAGCGCCTGGTGTGACAGTCCCTGCGAGCAGATTGCACATTGTCCTGTGTTCACTGCCTGAGCACGGTGCACCGGGCGGGCCGGGTTCCAAGTACAGGCCCACAGGTGACCAGGTTCCTGCCTCTCCCCTGAGCCCCACCCACGGGCAGTGGGAAGGCAGAAGCACACCTCGTGAGGGCTGCGGTGCCGTGGCCACAGCCCTGGCTGTGCACACCGCAGGGTGCCGCCCGCTGCCCGCCCCTCTCGGTAGCCGGACCGCACTGGGCCGGAGGGAGACGCAGGGAGATCTCTGCCAGGCAGGCCCGTTGGTCTTCGCTGTTAAATCCCGAGCCCAGAGCCTTCCTCTGATGGAAGGGAGGAGCTGACCCTGGAACTGCAGCCTGTGACGCTGCCGGCGTGGCATTTGCTTGAGGGGCCCACGTGGGAGGGCACCGATTTGGGTCCAGATTGAGGAGCCTCCCTCAGCTTCCTCCACGCCCTCCCATGGGCTCCCTGGCGCCTCCTGCGAGAGGACGGAGCGCCCCTCAGGGCGGCCATGGGAGAGGGCCCCATGGCTGTGCCATCCGGTGTGCCCTGCAGGTCCCCCCTGTGGTCCTTCCAGTCCCAGAAACAAGGCAGAAGCCACTGTCCCCTGGGCACAGGCCCCTCCCAGCGGGGGGCAGCCCGCACTTGCCTTTCCTGGGGCCCCTGTCATGCAGCCAGCTGGCCCCGGGCAGCGGCCTGTCTGTGCGGCCACACGGGAACTGCCCCTTCGGCCACAGGAGGCCCCGTCCACACGGGCGCCGCCCACCCGGTCCCCGGCGTTCTCCTGGCCCCGTTCTCCTGTGCTGCGCGCAGCTGCATTCAAATGCCAAATCGACCGGAGGTCTGGTTCTGACTGCGCTTTGGTCACCGTGTGACTGACTCTTACTCTCCCCGTGCTGACGAAGGATGCAGACCGCCGGGGCCCCAGGGGGTATTTTTTACGTGTTTTTTAAAACTTTTCCTATGAGCCTGGCGTCCGTGCCCACGCTATTTTTTTAACGTCTGCTTACTGATACTTCTGTGTACCTACGTCGTGTTCCGTTCACGTGCAATCTTCCTGTGTGTGTACCCCGGCGTCAGCCGCCTGGCTTCCTTGTATCACGTTTGTCATTTGATCTCGTTCTGATGCCGCTGAATGTTGCTGACCTCTTTGTACCTGCAACTTGCAAGGTGGGGAACATTCCGATGCGAGGATAAATCTTTGCTTTGACTTCCAGCCTGCGTCTCGTTCTTTCTAGACCGCTGACTGTAGGGCTTCTGTGACTCCGCTAGGAGCAACCCCTTTGGCGTGCGGGGCATGGGGGCACGGTGGGCGTGGGGGTACCGTGGCCAGAGCTTGGCCCAGCGCTCAGCTGGTCCTCGGACCTGAGTGTGCAGGCAGGAAACACGCCATCACTCACCGTCAGGAGCCCGTGCTTTTGCTGGGGTCCGGGCAGGAGTCTGAGCTCTGAGCAGTGATGTCTCGGTCAACAAGGGTGATGACAGATGCATCAAGGCCTCAGCTAGGTGGACTCAGAAAGCCTGGATGTTGCTTTTTCTCCTTAAACCGAAGCCTCACCAGCGCCCTCTGCCGCCCTCAGGGCTCTGGCTGTGCCCAGCTCTCTCCACCTCGCCCATCTGGCCTCCCTCCCTGCTCCTCCCCCACCACCACTCCAGCTTCCTTTCAGCATTCTAGACCCACTTGGGATCCGAGCAGATGCTTTTATTACTCGCTGTATTTCATAAAATTAATGAGTCTTAAGTTTGCCAAAAGGACTTGAAACCTTATAGTCCCGTCTCCAATCAAAGTCACCTGCAGGGAAGTTCACCTGCAGCGAAGTGCCGTTGGCTCTCCTGGGCCCTCTCGGGGGTCTGCCTGCACTGTCTGTGATGCGTCCCCTAGGACAGCGGCCCTCCCTCCTGCTCTAAGGTGGGGGGCAGGCCCTTCCCTGGGCTGGGTCCACCTGGAGGAAGAGGCACAGACAGGCCCTGAGGTGTGGACAGGGGAGGGGCCTCAGGCCATGCTTGTGTTGCAAGGGTTCAGGAAGTCACCACTAAGGCCGGGGTTCCTGTCCCAGCATTACAAAGGGTTCAGCAATCTGGAGAAAGGCTGTGTGTAGATTAAGTCAGAGTCCAGAGACGAAAGATAATTTTGAAAGGCATTGGGGGGTCAGAGGAGCTTCAGCTACAGGAGCTGAAGTTCTAAGTTCTTAGTTCTTGTCTCGGAACCCCTGCTTTTTATTAACACAATTTGTCCCAAGATGAGGTGGAGATATACACATCAAAGGGTATGGTTTACAGAAGCATTGTCAGATTGGGGAATAGCCCACAGCTGTTCAGGTGTTTGGGCAACAGGAGGCAACAATATGTAACTTGAGAAGCCCTGAGCTGTCTGGCAGCAAACAATCATCCTATTCAGGTTTGGGGAAGTGCCTTTTAGCCACTCCAACAGGTGATTACATATGTGACTCAGCCCTTGTTCATCAACCTTTTGATAAAACTCTTGTAATTATGACGTGGTGGAATTGGCTTCCAGCAGGCCACATCAGTCATTCCAACCAGTGAGTCACAGCCTCAGGAGGGGTGTGCACACACGTGTTGTGTGCATGTGTATGTGTGTGCTGGGCGGGTCTGGCCTAAAGGCAAGAGTGGGCTGGTGCTTTTAGCAAAGACTGTGCCAGACAGGCCATCCGGAGCATGATGGGAAGCAGGGAGACGTTCCATTTCCTGAGAGCTTCAGGGCAGGGGGCTCCTCACCTGGAACCGCAGGCTGACAGTCCAGACCCAGAGCGAGTGGGGTGCACTGCCTGCAACCTGCCCTCAGCCTTAGCCTGGGATGGTTATCTAATCCCCCCCCCCCCCCCCACCCACACACACACCCCTCCCCGTGTGAAGTGTAGGATGCGCCCTGCACTGTGCCTGTTTTGTCATCCAGACCCACAACCTTGGCTGGCTACACTCTGGAAATACTGTGCTTATGAAGGTGGGAAAGTGGGCTCATTTATTTCCGTGAGATTTGTGGTCAGAATTAAACCCGAAAGGGTTGTTTTTAAATTTATCTTTATTGTTGAAAGTATTACAGATATCCTTTTTCCCCCCATTGACACCCTCCACCCCACCCCCGCACACACTGCCATGTCCATGGGTTAGGCATTTATGCACCTAAGTTACTTGGTTAATTTTCTTCCCACCCATCCCCACCTTCCCTGAGATTACTGTTCCATGCTGCTATGTCCCTGGATCTGTTTTGCTCAATGGTTCATTGTAATCTTTTAGATTCCACATGAGTAAGATCATGTGGTACTTGATTTTCTAAATTGGCTTATTTTACTTGGCATAATACTCTCCAGGTCCCTCCATTGTGTCTCAAAGGGTAAAAAGATCCTTTTTTTTTTTTTACAGCTGCATAGTATTCCATGGTGTAAATGTACCAGCTTTTTTTTTTTTTTTTTACCTACTTGTCTGTTGATGGGCATTTGGGCTGTTTCCAGATCTTAGCTATTGTAAATTGTGCTATGAACATAGGGGTACATACATTCTTTCTGATTGGTGTTTTGGGTTTCTTAGGATGTATTCCTACAAGTGGGATCACTGGGTCAAGTAGCAGTCCCATGTTTAATTTTTTGTTAATTACTGTTTTCCTCATCAATCAGTATATTCCATTCCCAAGGCACACAGCTAATTGAAACTTTCTATATGCGAGCTCATGAACCACCTAATCAAAGAAAAGTCCTGTTATTATTTTCCATTTTCTTGAACGTGGCCTCTCTGAATTCACATTTATGACTCACACCTTCCAGTCAAGCCCCTTTCTGATGAGGCCCGACACTGTCCTTTCTTATTTTTTTCTCTTTATTTATTTAAAACATATTTTTATTGATTTCAGTCAGGAAGGGAGAGGGAGAGATTGAAACATCAATGATGAGAATCATTGATCAACTGCTTCCTGCATGCCACCTTCTGAGGATGGAGCCTGCAACCTGGACATGTGCCCTTGACAGGAATTGAACCCGGGACCCTTCAATCCACAGGCCGATGCTCTGTCCGCTGAGCCAAACCAGCTAGGGCTGTCCTTTCTGCTTGCACGATGTCCCTCCTCTTCCAGGCCCCCTCCTCTGCCTTCCCTCCCTTAGGGCCTGAACTCCGCCCACCACCGCACCATGGCAGCGCCAAAAGCATGACGGAGACAGACGCCTCAATTAATTAACAAAAGTTTATTTTTATAAGAACCTGGCTCCACGCCAGACACAGAGGACAGGAGGGCACAGACAGCCACCTCGTCTTCCATCCTCGCCTCAGCCTGGCAAGGCTGGGGAATTGTGGGGGCGTCCACACAGGTGACTGGACAGATGTGCTATTTTCTGACTAGAGAACACAGAGGGACAGGAGGACACAGAGGGACATAAAAACAGAGATGCCAGCAGTTAGATGCAGGTCTAGGCCTGAAACGGAAGGAAGTCTGGGCTGGACATGCAACTGGGAGGTATGGCCTCCACTGAGAGCTGGGCCCCTGGGGAGGGGCCCTGGTGCCTGCCGCCCTCAGAAATGGCCTTGCGTTTGGGGCTCATGTTGCTTCCTGTCCCCGGTGGGTGCAGGGCACCCAGTAGGCCGACAGGTGCAGCCAGAAAAAGCACAGATGGGACCAGGGCCAGCAGAAGCTCAGAAAACTGTAACCTTTTCTGCTGATGTGAGACTCTCAGGTCTGCTCGGCTCGGTCGTTTTGTCTAGGAGCCTGACACCAGAGCTAAGAGGGTGTTGGCACTGAGAACGAGCCCCTGGCCGACGGGAGGGTGGACGGGGCCTTCTCAGATGAGCGCAGTCGATTTAAGCAAATATGAAAAAGGCACGCCACCGGTCAGCCCCTCAATGTCCTCTGACTCCTGAACCCGAAGGGGGGGGGGGTCCACAGGCTGTCCTCAGGGTCACGTTCATTCCCTGAGTGACTGGAGTCCCGGACCAGCCTGTCCTGTGCAGACAGCCCTGGCGCAGGGACTACAGCCTCGCACTGTGAGGACAGACCTGTGAGCACCGGGATTCTGCACTGTCCCTTCCTCTCGCCTCCCGAGGGCCCTGCCTTTGGGGTCCTGAGGGAACACAGACAAACACAGAAGCATTTACAACGCAAGTGCTGAGCCCAGGAGCGTGCTGATCCGGACGCCGGTTCCAGGGCTGCATTGGCAAAGCTGGAGAGGACAGCTTGGCTCAAACTCCCCTCCTACCCACCCCACCCACCCCCCGCCTCAAATTGCTATTTCTGGGGACCCAGGAGTCCCTCTTTCATAACTCCTCGCAGGGTTTTTGAATAGACTATGGAGAATCAGAAAAATTTTAAAAGCTTTCTTCCCTTAAGCACCCGGAGAGCATTATTTACAGAACCCACGTTTAAATTCACAGCAGACATTGTTCTAGAACTTATCACTAAACTACATTCCTACCCTCCACCCCCCACCCCCCACCCCAACATCTGAGCTAAACATCTTCACGGCCCCGGCGACTGCGGGTCCTTATCTTCTTGACGGCCAGGTCGTCGTCTTCCTGTTTGGGAAGAAAATGCAACTGGAGTCACTTAACGCGAGGACTTCTGTACCCAGCCCGGCTCTACTCTAAGTCTTCCCCCCACCCCGTGACCCTTTCCAGAGGTTGGAGACGAGTTTTAAAATCCAGGGTTGGGGGCAAAATGCAGGTTTGCAGCAGTGAGTAGGGGAAACAAGGCGCACGCTTGCATTATCAGTGATTATTGTATTATTTTCCATAAAACAACTGTGAATGGATCCGTTTCTGAGTCTCTGCTGACATCAGCTGTTCTGTGTCTGTTCCCTCGTGACTCTAAGGGGCAGGGCATTGGATGCCATCCTGGATGTGGGTGGACCCGTAACAGGGCCTTTGCAGCGGGCTCCAGACCCGACAGCCTCTGGTCAAGCAGGAGGTTCCCGCTGACACCGCCTGGTCTCTACCTGCATCCTGGGAAGCAGATGTGTCCCCCTCAGAGAAGGGGGGCCTCTCAGCCTGTTCTTTGAACCCAGCAAATTGGAGGACTCCCTGGAGCAATGGTCTGCAAACTCATTCGTCAACAGAGCCAAATATCAACAGGACAACGATTGAAATTTGAGAGCCACATTTTTTAAACATCAACTTCTTCTAACCCCATTCCTTCAACATAGACTCGGCCAGGCCGTGGTATTTTGTGGAAGAGCCACACTCAAGGGGCCAAAGAGCCGCAGGTGGCTCTCGAGCTGCAGTTTGCCGACCATGGCCCCAGAGGAATGCTGACCGGGTGCAGTCCTGCTTGGTGGGTTTAATCCAGTGCGGACAGCTCTCGGCCTGAGACTGAAGGCCGTGGGCACTCACCGTCCATTAACTTAGGTGGCGCCTGCCCTCCCTACTGACCGGGACTCCTGAGAGGAGAGGTGCCTTGGGGACACACCCACGTGGTCATTCTAGCTTTCCAAAGGAACCCCTGGGGGACCACACAGGGCCCCCTCTGGGCCTTGGTGAGTCCCTGAACTCGGGAACGTGGAGACCACCGGTGATGTCAGCGCCAGGTGTGCAGGGAGCCGTGGGAGGCACTAGCCGGATAAGGTCCCACTCCTGACCCAGGACTTCAGAACGTGAATTCGCTGCGGACACAGGAACTCCAGGACGGACAGCACTGACCACGGTCACAGAGACAGACGCTGCTTTGCGCCCGCGCTTCTGTGCTGTGGGCCTGGGAGCCTGCGATCGCAGCAGCATGTGCATCTGCTTTTGCTGCAGGAGCTTTCTATGCTCGTTCAAAAGTGAAACAGTGCCCCGGCCGGCATGGCTCATGCTTAGAGCACCAGGCTGCTCACGGAAGGGTTGTGGGTTCGATTCCAGGTAAGGGCATGGACCTGGGCTGCAGGTTCTATCCTCGCCCTGGCTGGGGCACGTGCTGGAGGTAACCAATCAATGTTGCCTCTCTCACAACAATGTTTCTCTCTCTCCTCCAACTCTTTCCACTCTGAAAAATCAATGGAAAAAACATCCTCGAGGGAGGATTAAAAACAACAACAACAAAAAGAAAACTATTAAAAAATAGTAATAAAGTAAAATCGTTTAAAAAGTGAAACGGTAAACGACTTGCCTGCCTCGCCTCTCCCGCAGGCCTCTTGGCGCTCCGCGTGGCTCTCGGTTTGGGCTGACTCTCCGCAGTGTCCCCGGCGGGAGGGACCGTCACCTTCCTGGCCCTCCGCTGTGTGAGGCCTGCAGGCCGGGCTCCTTCCTTCTCTTCCTGAGCCTTCCCGGGGGCCTCCTCACGGGTCTCCCCGGCTTTCTCCCCGGCCACGCTGGGCTCGGGCGCCCTCCCCCGTCTCCGGGGCCGCGGGCACGCTCTCCTCTCACGGACCTCGTCCCCAGGCACAGAGCTCCCGGCTCCATCCTCTGGGCTGTGACTCTTCGCCTCCGGGGAGGCGGGCGCGGGCTTCCTCCCGCTCCTCTTGGTCTTCCCCGCTCCTGCTGTTCCCGGAACGCCGGGTGTCTGCTCAGCGCTGCTGGTTTTAGCTGCGAGTCTGGAACGCAGGGACACTTCCTAAAAAGACACCCACAAAATGCCGGGAACGGGTGATGCCAATCTGAAAATCCAACATGGAGAAAAAACCCCAAACTGAACACAGAGGGAAACTCATCTGAACGTTTTACACGGTTCACCTTCTATTGATAAAATGCAGTCACCTAAGACAGCCACTTCTCCTTGGAGAAGTCACCGCCTCTAACAGACCACGATAAGGGATCGGTGTGAACCTCCTCACAGTGAAATGCATGTGAAGTCTGGGACAAGCATCACAGGGCATCCCAGGAAGACGCCCCTGACTGGGGCAGTGAGTGAGCTCCGGCTTCACGAACTGCCAGCCCAGAGCCGGGAGACCAGCTCCTGACGTTCCCTCCCTCCGCTCCCCGGGGAGTGAGTGCTCTGCTGAAAACAGGGACATTCCACTGAGGACGCCCCTTCCCAGACAGGGTTCTGATTGGTTAGGCCTCATGCTCCTGGCTGCGGGTTCTGAACAGGCTATTCCCTTCTCTCTACACCCCTTTTTGTTTTCTTAATATATTTTATTGATTTTTTTACAGAGAGGAAGGGAGAGGGATAGAGAGTTAGAAACATCAGTGAGAAACATTGACCAGCTGCCTCCTGCACACCCCCTAAGGGGGATGTACATGCCCTTGACCGGGAATTGAACCCGGGACCCTTGAGTCCGCAGGCCGATGCTCTATCCACTGAGCCAAACCGGTCAGGGCTCTCTCTCTACTCTTTGAGGATGAACACAACTCATTCAGTTCCTGAGAAAATCATGTCAAAACCTCCAGTGGTCATTTTAGCTGTTTCTCCCAAATCAGCCTGGTCTCTCTAGAGAAGCCCAAAGGATTCTGGGCTGGGCACGCAGTGACTCAGCACGGAGGGCAGACCCCTTTGGGAAGGAGCACCCACATCAGTTCAGGTTCCTTACGATCTACCAATGATGCGGGGATGGAGAACGCCCCCCACCCCCCACCCCACCCCGGAGCGCCCACCAATCACAGTGCAGCCCATCCTCACCTTGCCAGGGGAGGTGGCCACCGGCGCTCTCCTGCCCCTCGTCTTCGTTCCCAGGTCCTCGCCGGGCACGTCTTCCGTGCCGTCTGCCACAGCTCCCCGCCTCCTCTTCACGCCCAGGGGTTCCGGCGGCTCACGCCTCTGCTGGGGAGCCGTCCGCTGCCGCTTTGGGGGTGGCTTCTCCTCCACTGGGTCCTGTGCTCGTGCGCTGGTGCGCAGTCCCCTCGTTCTGGTGGGACTTCCATCTTCACGCTTCCTCCTGGGGGCCAGGGGAACGCTGCCCCCCCTTGGGGGCGTTACGGGGTCTCTGCGGCCCGCCTGGCCTTCCACGGGCTTCACGTCCGGGGCCCAGAGGACTCTTCTGGGTTTGGCAGGTTTGTTCTCAGTTCCTGCGTCTGGCTCCTCGTCTTGAACGGGGCTTTGCGGGAGTGGTTGGCGGCGGGCTGGGCCTTCCGGGGGCTGGGCCCTTCCCTTCCGTGATCTCGGCTGGCGTCTGCCGCCCGCCGTGTCTGCCGCAGGACCAGGTTCCTGCCTTGGAGACTCCTTGAACACTGTGATGTCGGCGGGTCGTCTGCGGGACCGCGTGGCTTTCCCTGACGTCCGGGGTGCGGAGAGCTCTTCCTCCACGTCCGCCTTCCCGGGCGGCGCCCTGAGCTGCCTCTGCCTGCGCGCTGGCAGGACTGCCTCTGGCTGTGGAGACTTGGAGGGCACTTCAGTGGTTTGGACAGCAGTCTCTGGTTCGTCTTTGAGGCCGGCCAGGTCTTCTGGGGGCTGGGCCTTTTCTTTACGCGCCCGTGGCCTCCTCTTGTTTCCAGTTGCATTTTCTGCAGGATCCGATTTCTCTTCTGGAATTTCCTCCAACAGTTTGGTATCTTCAGCAGCAGCCTCTGGAGCTCTGTGGGACCTCGTGGCTCTCGCCGATGTCCGTGTGGGCTTCTTGGGAGCCGAGAGCTCTTCCTCTTCGTCCGCCTTCCTGGGCGGCGCCCTGACCTGCCTCTTCCTGCGCGCTGGCAGGACTGCTTCTGCCTGTGGAGCTTCGGAGGGCATTTCGGTGGTTTGGACAAGAGTCTCCGGTTCTTCTGTGTGACATGATGAGTGGAGGGGCTCTTTGAGGCCGGCCAGGTCTTCTGGGGGCTGGGCCTTTTCCTTACGCGTCCGTGGCCTCCTCTTGCCTCCAGTTACATTTTCTGCAAGATCCGATTTCTCTTCTGGAATTTCCTCCAACAATTTGGTATCTTCAGCAGCAGCCTCTGGAGCTCTGTGGGACGTTGTGGCTCTCGCTGATGTCCGTGTGGACTTCCTGGGTGCGGAGAGCTCTTCCTCCATATCCACCTTCCTGGGAGGCGCCCTGACCTGCCTCTTCCTGCGCGCTGGCAGGACTGCCTCTGGCTGTGGAGATCTGGAGGGCACTTCAGTGGTTTGGACAACAGTCTCTGGTTCGTCTTTGAGGCCGGCCAGGTCTTCCATGGGTTGGGCCTTTTCCTTACGTGTTCTCGGCCTCCTCTTGCTTCCAGTTACATTTTCTGCAGGATCTGATTTCTCTTCTGCCATCTCCCCCAACACTTTGGTATCTTCATCAGCAGCCTCTGGAGCTCCGTGGGACCTTGTGGTTTTCCCCAGCGTGCGTGTGGGCCTTCTGAGTGCCGGGAGCTCATCTTCTACAACCACTCTGCCTTGAGGTGCCTTCACACGTCTGTTTCTGCCTGGTAGCATGATGACTGGTTCTGGGTTTTGAGATTTGCAAGGTATTTTGGTGGTTTTGTCATCGGCCGATGATTCCATGATGTGATCTGGTGTTTGGAAGAGCTCCTTGAAACCAACCAAGTCTTCTATGGGTTGAACCTTTCTCTTGGGTGTTCTTGACCTCCTCCTGCTCCCAATTATATTTTCTGCTGAGTCTGGTTTCTGTTCTGGAGCTTCCTTAAATGCTGCGATACCTTTATCATCACCTTCTGGTTCTCTGTGGGAGTGTGTGGTTTCCCCCGGTGTTGGCTTCCTAAGAGCTGAGAGCTCTTCCTCCACATCCATTTTCCCCACAGGGGTCCTGAGTCGTCTTGTTGTGCTTGTGGGAGTGCTGACTAGTTCTGGTTGTGGAGAGTTACAGGGTGTTTTGGTTTTGTCATCAGTCATTGGTTCTACTGTGTGATCTGGTGTTTGGAAGAGCTCTTTGAAGCCAGCCAGGTCTTCTATGGGTTGGACCTTCCTCCTGGGTGTTCTTGACCTCCTTCTGCTTCCAGTTACATTTTCTGCTGAGTCTGGTTTCTGTCCTGGAGTTTCCTTAAATGCTGTGATACCTTTATCATCACCTTCTGGTTCTCTGTGGGAGTGTGTGGTTTCCCCTGGTCTCGGTGTTGGCTTCCTGAGAGCTGAGAGAGCTTCCTGCACGTCCGCTTTCCCCAGAGGTGTCCTGGAACGTCTCTTTGAGCTGGTTGGTGTGCTGACTGGTTCTGACTTTGGAGATTTGCATGATGTTTTAATTATTTTATCATCAGTCGCTGTTCCTATGATATGATTTGGTGTTTGGAAGAGCTCTTTGAAGCCAACCAAGTCTTCTATGGGTTGGACCTTTCTGCTGGGTGTTCTTGACCTCCTCCTGCTTCCAGTTACATTTTCTGCTGAGTCTGGTTTCTGTTCTGGAGTTTCCTTAAATGCTGCGATATCTTTATCATCACCTTCTGGTTCTCTGTGGGAGTGTGTGGTTTCCCCCGGTGTTGTCTTCCTGAGAGCTGAGAGCTCTTCCTCTATGTCTACTTTCCCCAGCGGTGTCCTGGAACGTCTCTTTGTGCTGATTGGTGTGCTGATCAGTTCTGATTTTGGAGATTTGCATGATGTTTTGATTATTTTATCATCAGCCGCTGTTCCTATGATATGATTTGGTGTTTGGAAGAGCTCTTTGAAGCCAACCAAGTCTTCTATGGGTTGGACCTTCCTCCTGGGTGTTCTTGACCTCCTCCTGCTTCCAGTTACATTTTCTGCTGAGTCCAGTTCCTGGTTTAGAATTTCCTCAAAGAACTTGGCACTTTTATCATCACTTTCTGGTGCCCTGTGTGCATGTGTGCTTTCCCCCGGTCTCGGTGTTGGCTTCCTGAGAGCTGAGAGTGCTTCCTGCACGTCCACTTTCCCCAGAGATGTCCTGGAACGTCTCTTTGAGCTGGCTGGTGTGCTGACTGGTTCTGACTTTGGAGATTTGAACGATGTTTTAGTTTTTTTATCGTCAGTCACTGTTCCTAGGATGTGATTTGGTGTTTGGAAGAGCTCTTTGAAGCCAGCCAGGTCTTCCATGGGTTGGACCTTCCTCCTGGGTGTTCTCGATCTCCTCCTGCTCCCAGTTGCATATTTTGCAGAATCCAGTTTCTGTTCTGGAGTTTCCTTAAAGAATTCGGCACTTTCATCCTCCATGTCCACTTTCCCCACAGGTGTCCTGAAACGTCTCTTCGTGCTGGTGGGCGTGCTGAGTGGTTCTGGTTTTGGAGATTTGGAGGGTGTTTTGCTGGTTTTGTCCTCAGCCAATGATTCCATCGTATGATCTGGTGTTTGGAAAAGCTCTCTGAAGCCAACCAAGTCTTCAATGGGTTGAACCTTCCCAATGGGTGTTCTTGACCTTCTGCTCCCATTTATATTGCCTGTCGAGTCCAGTTTCTGCTTTGGAGTTTCTTTAACTGCTTTGATATCTTTATTATCATTTATTGGTGCTCGACATGAATATGTGGTTTCCCCCGGCCTTGGTGTTGGCTTCCTGAGTGCTGAGAGCTCTTCCTCCACGTCGACTCTCCCCACAGGTGACCTGAAACGTCTCTTGGTGCTGGTTGGTGTCCTGCCTGGTTCTGGTTGTGGAGATTTGCTGGGTGTTTTGGTGGTTTTGTCATGAGTCACTGTTTCCACAATGTGACCTGGTGTTTGGAAGAGCTCTCTGAAGCCCGTCATGTCTTCTATGGGTTGGGCCTTCCTCCTGGGTGTTCTCGACCTCCTCCTGCTTCCAGTTACATTTTCTGATGAGTCCAATTTCTGGTCTGGAGCTTCCTTAAATTCTTTCATGCTTTTGGCACCACCTGCTGGTTCTTTTTGTGTATCTGCTATGTCCCCTGGGGTTCGTGTGGGCTTCCTGAGGTCTGAGAGATCTTCTACATTCGCTCTCTGGGAAGGAGTCTTGATGCGCGTGTTCACCCTGGTGGGTGTGCTGACCGGTGCTGGGGATGTGCAGTGCATCAATAAGGTTTTGGTTTCCGTACCCACTGCTTCCTCAGCGCCGCTTGGGTTTTGGAGGAAACTGAGGCTGCCCCCCAGGTCTTCCTTACATTCTGTCTCTTGCCATCTCTGGATGGGGATCAGGCCTGCTCTTGGTGTGCATTTCAGCTCTGATGATCTTCTTGATCTCCTCCCAGTGATCGGTTTTTCAGAATTTTCTCTTGGTTCATTGTTTTTATTACATGTTCCAAAGGATCTTTCCCTTTCCTTCATCTCTCCCTCTGGTAGCTGTGTTTGTACTGATGATTTTCTCAGGCATCTTCCCAAGATGTTCTGAACAGTGTCGACTTCTTTGTCATCCTTTCCACATTCTGCACTTGTCACCTGTATATTTCTGAGCTCCACGGACCTCCTGAATTTGTTTGTACTGGATGCTGCCTTCGGAAGCTCTGTCTCCAATCGTGGGGTTTTCATATTTCCATTTACTGTAACACACTGTTGTGTAAAGGCTGGGCTTGAAGACTGTTTATCCCATAGTTCTTCTCGTGCATTCAGATCCTTTTCTCCTATAATGAAAAAAAAAGCACAAAAAATACATTTTCCTCATTGTGTTATAACCGATCTGGTATTTTATCCTCATGAAGTATTGTGTAAGAGGCAATAATCACCCTCCTTTCCACTTTACTAATAATATGAATCTGCTTATGTGGCTATACACTTGTCTGACATATGAACCATGTACATTTAAGAATAAGGGCATTTGCCGGGACCGGTTTAGCTCAATGGATAGAGCGTCGGCTTGGGACTGAAGGGACCCGGGTTCGATTCCGGTCAAGGGCATGTACCTTGGTTGCGGGCATATCCCCAGTAGGGGGTGTGCAAGAGGCAACTGATCGATGACTCTCTCTCATCGATGTTTCTAACTCTCTATCTCTCTCCCTTCCTCTATGTACAAAATCAATAAAAAAATATATTTAAGAATAAGGGCATTTGGTGCTATACAGTGGGCTCATACATAGGTGGTGGTTAGAATCCACAGGGATTAGATCAAGGACAAAAAAGCAGGGTCTCCTAAAGGCTGCCACGCCATGTCTCAGTGACCTGTTTTCTTTAAACATGAGAAACAGCTATTTCCTTTCCTCTTCTTCTTCTTCTTCTTCTTCTTCTTCTTCGTTTTTTTAAATATATTTTATTGATGTTTTACAGAGAGGAAGAGAGAGGGATAGAGAGTTAGAAACACTGACGAGAGATGAATCATCGATCAGCTGCCTCTTGCACACCCCCTACTGGGGATGTGTCTGCAACCAAGGTACATGCCCTTTACCGGAATCGAACCCGGGACCCTTGAGTCCGCAGGCCGACGCTCTATCCACTGAGCCAAACCGGTTTCGGCAAGCTATTTCCTTTCTGAACCACCAATGCAATAATATGGCTTATACATTCACTGATTGTCCACATTAAATTAGAAACATCTACTCTTATCCTATGGGAAGCATGTTCAATGTAGCAATTAGCTCACTCTAAAACACAACGTGGTTTCAAACAAGAGTAAGACAGACTCACAGTTCCCATCTCACACTCACACTCGGACAACTTGCAATCATTTTGAGTTTGAGTAATTTACATATAAGTATGATGAGAGAGATTATACTTTTCTGCTTCTCGGCCTCTTTACTTATAATAAAGAAGACAAAAGTCCTCACAGGTAGTTTGCTTATTAAAGGAAATAATCCTTCTCACTCAAGTCACTGAATGCCAGTGCAGGTTCAACCGCTGATAGGGATTTTCCCTAAAAGCAATAGAACAAAGAAGTTGGAAACAGTATTTTATCACGAGTACCGATTGTAGAGAAATAATGTAGTGTCTGTTACAAAACACAACACCCCCATCTACAGTTCTATTGAAGACATCAAAAGAGTTAGGGGAAAAATAGTAAACCCACCAAACTTTTCTGGGGTGCACAGCAGAGGTTTGTCTTCTGAATTAAGTACTTGAAACTTTTTCCCAAGCGAGTCCTCGGAATTTGAAAAAGTGGTGGGACCTAGGTTCATTGTTTGTGGCTTCTCTTTTGCTGGAGTCTTGAACATTTCAGTTAACCCTGTTACGTGGAAATAGTGGGGAAAAACAACGAACAGATCACTCTTATATGCAAACAACCATGCCAGTCACAGCATACAACCGAGGAATCACACCTTAGAATCCTGGGAGAGGGTCTTGGGTGAAGGAGCTACATTAGGAATAATAGACTCATTCTGTTAAAAGAGGGCAATGATGGGACGTTCACATCTTAGAGGTGCTCCCTCGTCTTTGTCTTTCCTTTGGAAAGAAAAACAAGCAAAGGAAGTTGTCTCAGTCTCCTGACGTTGTGCCCAGTTATGGGCACTGGCCGCAGGCTGGAGGCCCCCCTCACGGCACCAGAGACCCAGTGTCCTTGTGCCGTCTGAGGTCATGCAGCTCTGGATACTAAGTACAAAGGAAACGTCCCCCAATTTTAAAAACGACGTAGCACTGCCCATTTTTAGTACTGTCAAGTAGTAGCATCCCCATCTTTTCAGAGGACAGCTCTTCTACGGCACTACCTGCCCTGAAATAAATAAAAGAGCCCACCTAACATCTAACTTTAGATGGCTAAAGTCTCATCTCCCTCCGCTGGTCCAGCGTGGTGGCATGAAACCTTAGCCCTGGGTCTGGCCATGGTTCATATCTACTACAATCATAAGGATTCTTCTAATGAGAACGGCAACATTGGCTCAACATTATTCATGTCTAAAGAAAACTTCTTCCCAGTCCTTTGATTCGTGAAACAGGTTAAGCTACATGAAAACTCTTGGAGAAACTCTTGAAGCAAAACACTGCTCACACCCATTGCTCCAGCTCTGAGGAAACTGCTTCGCACCAGTGCAGGGCAGGGGCGCTCATCAGAGCAAGCCGCCTTCTCCCCGGAGAGCAGCTTCCGGCGTGCTTACACCCGTGCTGCTCTCGGAGGTGCACGTGTGCATCCACCCTGCATGCCTGCCTCACGAAGGACACGTGATCCCCCGAGTGCCGGGGCCCCGTCACTGTTCCCGAGGCAGCTTTCTCGGCCTGGACCGTCCTGACGGGATTGTTTGGTCTCCTGTCGCCCTCTCTGCAGACAGACACCCAACCACGTCCTCCCAGAGCGGAGGGCTGTGGGTAAAAGAGCCAGGCCTACGATCTTACCTGAAAGGTCTTCATTGAAGTCGATTTTTTTGTTGATCACGAAGTTGTTCAGCATCCTGTAGGGCCGAGCAGGCGCGCTGACCTTTTCGATGTGAGCTCTCCCGATCACGATGGTGCAGGGAGAGGCGGCGTGGCCAGTGCTGAACTCGTTGTGAACGCTGGCCAGAGGCTTCTGGAAAACGGGCAAGAGCACGCACCGTGTCAGAGCGCGGCCACACGGAAGGTGCCGGATGCACGGTGGGTAGCAGCCACGCACCATGGACACAAACCTTTGGGGTGTTAACTCTCCTCTGCCGTTTGCTCGGCGGTCTTGGGGGACCAGGTCTTGGGGGACCATGTCTCACAACTTTAGTTTGTGTTTGCTTGGCGCTAAGCTTCACCACATCTGCCCACGACCTCGACACTGGCGGAAAGAAACGGGGGTGAAACTTCCCAGCACTGGCGGCAGTGGTGAGAAAACTCACCCCGAAACACGCGCGTTCCCGCAACACTCACCCATCAGGTTGGCTTCCGAGGCCCCGCTCCGCCGCCGGGAGTGAATGGTCTGCAGGATTCCGCGCTGGCTCCGGTCCACGGAGGCCCTCCTGGCGGGCCCGCTGCTGCTCCGCCTGCCTCCCCGCTTAGGGGCATCTGTGTGATGTGGAGATTTGCTGCCACTTGAGGCAGGTGGCTTGGGGGACCGCCGGCGAGCATCATTTATACGTGGAGACGTGTTCGTAGGACTGTTTTGCGTGGCCACCTCCGAACGGATTCCTGAAGGTTCCCCCTTTTCCGATGGCTGTTCCTGGTGAGATGGAAGCGCTCCCGTTAGCTTGCTATGAACGCTGCACCGCTTTAACCGCTGTGATGACTGAGGGAGCCGCGCCCAGGAAAAACTGACGCTGTTTCCAAGTACAGGACCCCACCCCCCCAAAACCAAAAGCATAAACACACCTAGTGCTCATAGGAAAGTCTCTGTGCTGCTCCCAAATTCTTGAATAATTTTAATAAAACTGGATTTGAATAGACACCGTTTAAATCTTGAAGCACCAAAACATGGCACCCACTGTCAAGTGCAAGGTAGGGGAGAAAAGCAGCAGACAAGCCTTCCCTGGGGTGTTTCAGGAGGAAAGATGGAGGGAACCTCCGGAGGAGGGCTGAGGGCTCTGCCTGAATCCCGGCGAAGGCACCAGGGGGTGTGCGGCCCCTGTGGTCTCTCTGCCGGGAAGGAGGCTGCTCTACAGGGAGCCAGTGTAAAACGGGGAGGACACACACACACACACACAGCAGGTGCCTTAGCCCGGCCTCTGTGATGAAGGTGAGTTGATTACAGTTCTAAGCAGCTGATGGTGAGAATCGCAGTGTGTTGCCACCTAAGATTTCCCTTTCGGCTTATGCGTCTAAAGAAAAAACAGCCACCCTGTGGTCATGGGTCCTGATGGCCCTGGACTTTTCTCACCAGAGTTGTCATGGTGACCCCAGCGTGGTCCTCTGTGCACCTGTGCGTGGCCACCTCCCAGCCGTGGGTAGGAACCAAGTGCTCGTTTTCAACACTGCGGTGAATAAGCTCATTTGGACTTTTCATTTTTACGTTATATTAGAAGGAAAAGGTTTAATTGTAATTCTACTCGTGGGAGTGCTAGGAAAGAGGAGGTCCCCGGACGTGAGCATCATGCAGGAGGGCGAGTGCTGGCTGCGGAACGTACCTTGATGATTTTCTTCAGGACGGGAGGCGTGTGGGCTACCAGAGAGCGTCTTTTCATCGGGGTCTCTCCCCTTTTGAGAGGGGTATTAGGAGGTAAGTTTTCATCAAATAGTTCAGGTCTCAGATGACCCCCGAAGGAGACCCGCCTTCTCTTTAAGGGCTTCCCCTCAGTCTTACCTAAAGGAATGAAGACAAACGGGAAAGGGGATGAAAAGACCATCCTAGTACTTGTGCCTTGTTTCCAATTGATCTTAAAGTCAGACCAACGATTCCTGATGCCGAAATACTTCACTCTCTGGTGGTGCCGGGAAAGCTAAAGGTGCTTCTAGAGCTCACGACAGATCAGGGCCAAACTGTCAAAACGCCTGGCCCATCTGGACGGTACCAAGATGTTCTTTAAGATGCTGAACCCGCCGAAGCCGGTTTGGCTCAGTGGTAGAGCGTCGGTTTGCGAACTGGGGGTCCCGGGTTCGATTCCGGTCAGGGGCATGTACGTTGGTTGCAGGCACATCCCCGGTAGGGGGTGTGCAGGAGGCAGCTGGTCGATATTTCTCTCTCATCAACGTTTCTAGCTCTCTATCCCTCTCTCCTCCTCTCTGTAAAAAATCAATAAAATATATTATATAAAAAAAAAAAAAATACACTGAACCCCTGCATGGACACAGCTCCTAAGGGGATCAGCCTGACACAGGGGGTGCTCCCTGCAGAGCTGGACTGATGGAGGTGGCTGCTTTAGCAGTGACCTGAGAAAACGTTCCCAAAAGACACCTGCGTGGGCCTCACTGGGGACCTGCACTCTGAGTAGAACAAGCTGGGGAAGTTCTGCAGGGGGCTCCCCCAGGCAATCCTGGGGCCCCACCCACTGTCATTTTAGAAAGGCGGTGTCACCAACTACTCACACCCAGACACCGACAGGTAACCTAGGTACGTGCGCACGCTGGGGGAAAATGAACTTAAAGTGAAATGAACTTACTGAGGGCATCGCCAATGTTGCTGACATCCACGGCACTGAGGCCCGGGGCCCCGCCGGGAGCCTTCTGCTCCGTGGGGACCGGCAGCGGGGAGGGCAGGGCTTGCTTTGGGAAGTCTGTTCCTGCAGGGAGAACGCCGGCCGTGGGAGACAGGCTCCTTCTCCTCTTCCGGGAAGAGACCTTTTCTGCTGGATTGCCGAGGTCGCCAGCGCCTGTGCCGTTCGTGGGTGTTTGCTGTCTGGCTGAGAGCCTCCGGGGAGCAGACGCGGCCCTGTCTGCCCAGAGGTCTTCCCCACGGGCGACACTCACAGGTCCACCCCCACGGGTGACACTCACAGGTCCACCCCCACGGGTGACACTCACAGGTCCACCCCCACGGGCGACACTCACAGGTCCACCCCCACGGGTGACACTCAGCTCCCCACTGCGGAGCTTCTGGGAGGAATTCTGCTGTGAGCAGGGGATGGGGGCCTTGGCCTTGGGCGTCTCTGTGGGGGGCATGCTGGGATTCGGGGTGGCCTCTGGAGTCTGAGCCAGTCCTTCGCCCGCTCTCTCTGCCTCCGCCTGGCTGCTCCGACCAGACCTCCGCCTGGCCTTGGGGGAGACCCGGGGCTGAGTCGCACTTTCGGATTCTGATGCACCCTGGCCCCGGGATCCAGATTTTCTGCGATTCTGTGGAACAGCCTCTTTCTCTGGTTTCACGTCCAACTCTTCCTTCATAGACTCGTAGAGCTTCCGGAACGGAGACTCGTTCTCTCCGTCCTTCTCCGGATCCTGCCCTCCATTCCAGCTCGCAGCGGTCACACGGGAACCCACTCCGAACCCCCCAGCAAGGGACCCCGCCGCGTTTCCGTGGAGATCTCCGGGGGGCTCCGAGGAACCAGCATCGGCTGTGCCTTTGGTAGCGGGGCCTTCTGAGCCGCGAGAGGAGGTGCAGGTCGCCCCGACGTGCTCTCTGCCCTCCAGGGGCCCTCCTGAGTCTCCCTCTTCAGTGACTTGTGAGCGGGCAGCACCGAGGACTTGAACTTTACCATCTTGACAGCGAAATATGAAATAAGAAACAAGTTCCAATATTCTCAACGGTTAACGTGTGCAGTTTGCAAACCTCACAACTGTTTCAAACTGTCTCATAACCTAACTCTTCACTTAGCCTACACCAGTGGTCGGCAAACTCATCAGTCCACAGAGCCAAATATCAACAGGACAACGATTGACATTTCTTTGGAGAGCCACATTTTTTAAACTTAAACTTCTTCTAACGCCACTTCTTCAACATGGACTCGCCCAGGCCGTGGTATTTAGTGGAAGAGCCACACTCAAGGGGCCAAAGAGCAGCATGTGGCTTGCGAGCCGTAGTTTGCCGACCCGCTGGACTACATGTTACTGAGTGTCCCAAATGTGCAATACAGTATTCTGATACTACATATTACATCAGATCTAATATTATGATCTCATCCAAATAAGTAAATCACATCAGTGTCCTATAACAAATCTGAGATAAAATGCTATTATTCTACTGAGAACTCAGCAGACAACTGAGCAAGACAATTTATCTGCACATGGCTTCTCCCCTAAGCCCCCCAGCACTGGGGAAGAACGGTAGCTCGGGATCTGCCTGAGCCTGGACCTAGGACCTGTGTGACGTTGGTGGCCGCTCCTAGCCACTATGCTGTGGAGCACTGACCTGGCAGATCCGGAAGGAATGAAACACTACTTACCGGGGATGGAAGAGAAGCTAGACCTTGAGACCCGTCTCGGAGATTTCTGTGAATTGGTAAAGAATGAACATCAATTTAGTACCTATTGGGACAGTCAAGTTCATTAAAACATCCTATCTATCGCTGATCGGCTTTGCCTAATGATTCTTATCGGACTTTGAGAGGCTGAGAGAAGAGCCCGAGACCCGCAGGTGCTGATGCTCCGAACACAGTATTTCTTAGCTGATTTAAAAAATACGGCCGAGGGGCGCGCGTGCTCCCAGACCGTGGGCGAGCACACCCTCCTGCAGGAGGAGACCTTTGCCTTGCCGCCTGGCTCCCCAGTGCGCTTGGTGCTCTACCGGGAGCCCTGGTTTGGGGGGCTCGCACTACTTCTAACAGTGCTTAGTTCAACCGAGTCAGCTGGAAGGCCTGGTTGGCTTGATTCCCCATTCAGGAAGCGAGCAGCTTCCCGTCCAGTAAATAGAATCTCAGAGGAGCTGTGGAAAACGGAGGCTTTGGCAATAGGCGTGGAGAGGTTATTAGTAAAGGAGAAGGAAGGACTGCTTCAGGCAAGATCACCTTGCCTTAGAGAAGGGAGCCTCACTAGGCAGACTGGTGTGGAACAGGAAGTTGCAGAGTGACTGGGCTACAGTTTTACTCCTGGGAGAGGTTGAAACTGCGGTTACAGACAGTCACGTGCCCGTGAACCTGGGGAGTCCATCTCGAGGCAGTTTTGTTTTCAGTTCTCTTACACACACCTGCACGGGGCAGCCTACTGCACAGCGAGGCCATAGGGAACAGCCTGTGAGTTCTAGGCAACAAACCTGCACAACAGGCTACTGTGCTGAATACCGCAGGCCCCTGCAATGCAGTGGAGCAAGTATTTATGAAAAGGGATACTAATAATGGGGCGTGCACGATAACCATTGGTACACCCATATGGTGCACTGACCCTGAACAGAGCTTACAGGACTGGAGATTGTTGTGAAGGCATCAGTGATTGGTGAGTGAATATGCAGGCCTAGGACGTACTGTACACAACTGTACACTTTATACCACTCTACATTTAGGCCATGAAATTTATAAAAAACACATTCAATCAAGCACAGGAAGAAAACAATTGTTTCTCTCTAAAAAAAAAAAAAATTCAATAGAAACATCCTTAGAAGATGAGGATTAAAAAAAAGTAATGTAGGTTCACCTTGTTTTAATACCTTGGGTACACTCTCCTGCTATAACTGGTTAGTCACCTCCCTTGTGAGGAAACTATTCATCAATGTGCATATAAATGACTTCTGTCTTCATGCAAAAGAATCAGAGCCCCAAGTTTGATACCACCCAACCCTGATCACCTGTTCACATCTTTGTCCTGGAAATTCAGTTGACTTGCTTCCGTCTGGATGACTGTCATTTTCATACCTGAAGTGCATAGAACGACAGACACATATTCAGATTACTGATCGGCAGCCTGAGTATCTGACTAGTATCCAAGGAATAAGGAGGAAACTTCAAGATGTTACCCTATTCCTGGAAAAAAATTTAGAGTGGATCGCCTCAAGTTTCTTTCAGGACTGGAGTCTGAGGTTGGGCACCCGGATTATTTCTGAACGCTGACCAGCCTGTGATTCGCGATCAGCCTGTGATTCGCGATCAGCAATCCTTGAGTACTTGCTATGTGCGAACCACTGCAGTGGAACAGAATCGGTGTGTGCTAGTTTACGTTCATGGAAACCAACCAATGGCTTGGAAGCCTAACCAGGAAGCCAGGGGCGGCCACTGCCTGAACCACTGTGACGTCACTTCCTGCAGAGACTAGAGCTATGCATTACCCTGAAAACACTCTGATCCCGCCAGCCCCCACGTATCCCATCTGTGTCTGAACAGCGGCGGGCACGCTGCATGAAGATGAGGGATATGCAGCAAGAGGCATAGTGGTCCTCACAAAAACTCAGGTACCGCATCACAGCACAGCCACCTAAAAGGCAGACAGAACCTGGGTACCAGGGAAAAGGGCCTGATTCAAACTTAGATGCCACCTGAGCACAATGGGGAGCAGCGAGGATTCTGGGATGGTTTCTCAGGGAGCAGAGCTCCGGATCGGGTCCCTCTTCCTAAGAACCGTTTGGACTCTCTGCCGGAGGTAGCCAGTGTTCTCCAATAATGTGAACTCCAACAGCAGCTCCTTTGGGGGAAATAATTCTGGCCTCGGTTTCACATCAAAGACCTCCTACCTGGAGCTCTCGTTAACAACGAAGCAAATTCACAACAAGCACACGAAAAGAAGTGCCCGGATGGGGGGGAGGCACAACGACAGCACCGGTATTTAACGCAGGCCATAACGAAGGCAGAGCTCCGCTCAGCAAAATGGGTGAAAAGTGACACAACTACACATCTCTTTAAGAGACACAACTCCCATTCAAAGGCACAAATAGGAAGCCAGGAAAAGGGCAGGAAAGATACACCTGCAAACAGCAACTGGAAGAGGGCTGGAGAGGCCACGCCAACTCGGAAAAAATAGACAGACATTGTTCTCAGAGACCAAGCGCGAGTTATAATGATTTAGGGCCGATAAAAAACAAACAAACAAAACCCCCACAACAAAACTGATTATAACAAACGTGCCCCTAACAGCTGGTTCCAAGAGACCAAGGATCCTGAAAAGTTCGAAGTATGTGATAATAAAAAAGTCGTATGCAGTCTAATCAAAAGCTCTACTGCCGAAACCGGTTTGGCTCAGTGGTAGAGTGTTGGTCTGAGGACTGAAGGGTCCCGGGTTCAATTCCGGTCAGGGGCATGTACGTTGGTTGCAGGCACATCCCCAGTAGGGGGTGTGCAGGGGGCAGCTGGTCGATGTTTCTCTCTCATCGACGTTTCTGGCTCTCTCTCTCTCTCTCCCTTCCTTTCTGTAAAAAATCAATAAAATATATTAAAAAAAAAAAAAAAAAAAAAGCTCTACTAAAGACACAGAACACGTCTACATGATGCCTAATAGAGCCTAGTCCACCAGATCATTCTGAACTGAAACACGGAGAGCAGAGCCGCCAAGCACAGAAAGGAAACTGCCAAGAGCTGGAAAACAAACACCCTCAATGTGTGACTTAACTCGCCTGTGTCAGTAACTAAGAATCGGGGTGGTGGTGGGGCGGGAGGGAGGGATGACAGTGATTCTAGAATCTGAACCAAATGCGCACAAACCACAGACAGAACACTGCACCCAGCAGCTGTCAACACACCTTTCCAACACAGATCAGTAAGAGCTAATCCTATGGAATCATAAAGCAAACCCTGATGCATTTCAAACATGAAGTTACTCCACCGTCCATCCAGAGCGAACAGGTTGTGTGGGTAACTGTATGTATTATCTCAGGGATACTCATGAGGACATCCATGCTCTGAATGCCTGCACTGTGAGAGAAGAAATCAGTTACAAATATGTCCGTCATTATTACAAATGGATGGAGTTTAATAAACAGACAAAACCACAGTGGTCAGGGATGCAGGCTCACGCAGTAAAACCCCAGACTTGCATGCCATCGGAAAGTGTGGTCAGAGAAATGAGTAGTGATTAGAAGTTGCGTGAAGGAAGCTTCAGACATCTAAGTAAGCGGTAGGTGGTGGTTAGTTTGCTGGGGCTTCTATAACAAAATACCGCTCACTGGGTGGCTTAAACAGTTTGTCTCACTGTTCTGGAGGCTGGAAGTCCCATGTCAAGGTGCCAGCAGGGTTGGTTTCCTCTGGGGCTTGCTCCTCGCCTTGCTATGGTTTCCCTTTGCCACCTGTGCACACGGTTTCCCTCTGAGCAGCTGCCCCCTGGTTCTCTGTGTGTGTCCTCATGTCCTCATGCTTTAAGGACACCAGTCAGACTGGATTAGGGCCTATTCTAAAGGCTGCATTTTAAAAATATATATTTTATTGATTTTTCACAGAGAGGAAGGGAGAGGGATAGAGAGCTACAAACATTGATGAGAGAGACACATCGACCAGCTGCCTCCTACATACCCCCCCACCGAGGATGTGCCCGCAACCAATGTACATGCCCTTGACCCGAATCGAACCTGGGACCTTTCAGTCCGCAGACAGACGCTCTATCCACTGAGCCAAACCGGTTTCAGCTAAAGGCTGCATTTTAACATAATCACCTTTTCAAAGCCCTGCCTCACTGCTCTCAGGTCCTGGGGCGAGGACTTTGACACTTAAATTTGCGGGAGGGGGAGGGCATTCAGCCCAAAACGTGTAACGATCACAGGGCTGTTCACGCCCGTCTTGTTTTGTTTGAATATCTTTAATTTAAAACAATAAACTAAAAACCGTTTGCAATGTCTCAACACTTCCGGTAAAGTGAAACTCCCGTGGGACCAGGCCACCCCTCCTCAGCAGCATCCTGGGCTCTCAAATCCCTGAACGGGAGGACATCGGCCGCACAGGCCCCCGTGATTTCCGGTTAGGAGTCAGTGTGGAGAAGGTCCATCTCAGTGGACATTCGCCCACCCTGAGGAGAGCCCCAGAGGGTCTGCGAGGCGGGTCCCTGGGGCACACTGACCTGAAGGAGCGGTCAATGACGGTGATCACATCCCCGTGCCTGAGCTGCACAGGCCCGTCGATGGCACACCCGTTCACCTGGGTTGGGTTTGCGGCACTGAAGTTAAACAAGACTGCCTGAAAGTAGAAAGGGGGGGAAGGTGGAACACACGGGGAACACGTGCTGCGAAGGCTTCTTAAAACTGACCCCCACGCCCACTAACCTTCTGGTCACGGACTTCAATTTTGCAGTGCTGTTTGGACACGACAGGAAGCTGGATACGGATGTCACACTCAATACCCCTTGGTCAGAAAGAAGGAAGACTTCTTTAGGTTGTTGCGTTTAAAAAATCACATCAATGTAATTCAAAATAAAATAGCATTTGACTACGTTTGGTCTTTAAATGTAATTACACACACACACACACACACACACACACACACACACACACACACCCGTATTTTTCGGACCATAAGACGCACCAGTTTTTAGAGAAGGGAAATGAAGAAAAAAAGATTCTGAAACAAATAGTGTCCTAAAATATTTTATGTGCATTAAAACCCAACATCACAGTCATAAACACATGTAATCAACCCTGTAAAGTAAACAGCAGCATTTAGAACCATTTTAGAGCCGGGCAAGCACACAGAGACCACACAGAGCCGGGCAAGTAAAAAAACTTTTTTTTAAAAGTATATGTGTAGGCTATATTTGGACCATAAGATGCAGGGACTTCCCCCCCCCCACTTCTGGGGGGAAAAAAGTGCGTCTTATGGTCCGAAAAATACGTGTGTGTGTGTGTGTGTGTGTGTGTGTGTGTGTGTGTGTGTGTGTGTATACCTAAGCTTGACCAGTAGCTATGACACTCACTGACCACCAGGGGGAAGATGCTCAGTGCACAGGCATGGAAACATGGAACAGACTGATGAAACTCAAAGGGAAGGGGGAGGGCGGGAAGAAATTAACCAAAGATATATGCATACTAGAAGTCCAGTGAGGTCCCTCAGCCTGGCCTGCAGGAATCAAAACAAAACTGGCAGTCCAACCTCCCCTCAGGGGTCCCAGGTTGCAAGAGGGTGCAACCTGGGACCCTCTACTAAAGAAATAATAAACTGGGTAAACCTCAATGATCTCTAGATTTTGCAAATAACAGATATTATATAAGCAACTATCTTAAATCATTAAAAATTAGAGTAAAGATAAAGACAATTACACTAGAAAACATGACAATATAAAGTTGATTTGCCTTTTACTAAGATATCTATGCTTAAAGGACCCAACTAAAGCAGTGTTTTTCAACCTTTTTTGGGCAAAGGCACACTTGTTTCATGAAAAAAATCACGAGGCACACCACCATTAGAAAATGTTAAATTTAACTCTGTGCCTATATTGACTATATATAAAGTAATTCTCTTGAATAGGAATCAAATAAACACAAAGAAAGTATTTTATAATTACTTTATTATGAAATATTAAGTAAACAAAATAGTGAAAAATTATAAAATTCTTGTCTTGTCTGCACCTACGGCACACCAGGCAACATCTCGCGGCACACTAGTGTGCCGTGGAACAGCGGTTGAAAAACGCTGAACTAAAGGAATATTTTACATCAGTTTGGAGAATGAACATTACTTTTAATACTGCGCTTTTTTTTTTTTCTTTCCCCAACAAAAAGGTTTATGTCCACTTAAGGTTAAATCATCACCAAAAGTGCTGTATTTTACCCCAACACCTCTCTGTGCCTGTTTCTTTACAGACAAAACCAGGATTACATTAGCACCGGTATCACGGTGTTCTTTAGAGGATAAAATGAGTTATGCACATCAGCATTTGCCCGGCACACAGTAAATGCTATTACTTGTGAGCTTCTGACTGTTGTTTTAAAGCTATACTGCTTTTATTGACAGATGCACAAGTCTATCACTAAAAATACTAACCTGCAAGCAACATCAACAACAACAAAAACCATTCTCTAGATTTGACTTGTCTTTTCACAAAAAGCTAACGCCGGCAGGAAGCACAGAGACAGACTTCTCAACCCACAGAAACCCAGCAGAGGCCCTCAGTGAGGTCCGCTGGGGATCCCCGTTACCATCCGGGGGGTTTTATGAGTTTGAACAACTCTAGACTCTCACCTCTGTTCTCAGCTTGAACCTCTGGAGTCTAAGATCTCTCTTCCCACCCACGTCCTTTCTAAATGGCAAAATCCTGCCTACAAACGTTAACCGTTGCTGTATAATTACCACAATTACTGCCATTCAACGCCAACATGTTTTTAAACCTTTTTTTTCTCTTTCCAAAAGAAGCTATGAAAAGTGAACGGCTACTTTAAGTCAAAGAAGGTAGTTTGACCTTTTAGGTGAGAGAATATTCCAGGAAGAGAGACTCTCTCATGAGGACTGAGAAGTCTTTGACAGGAGGCTAGTGTCGGATCACCTTAGCCTAGCCCGGTGGTCGGCAAACTCATCAGTCAGCAGAGCCAAATAGCAGTAGTACAACGATTGACATTTCTTCGGAGAGCCACATTTTTTAAACTTAAACTTCTTCTAACGCCACTTCTTCAACACAGACTCGCCCAGGCCGTGGTATTTTGTGGAAGAGCCGCACTCAAGGGCCCACAGAGCCGCATGTGGCTCGAGAGCCGCAGTTTGCTGACCACAGGCCTAGGGGCTCTTAACCTGGGGCTGCTGACCTTTTAGGCCACAGAAGGCTTCCTGGCGGGGACTGGAGGGTGCAGGCCGGGCGGGTGGCAGCATCAGGACCTCTGCTCACTGATGCATGAGCCTCCCACCGGGTGACACAGGAAGGCAACCAGAGACGCTCTCAAAACACCTCCCAGTTCATTTCCCCACCGAGACCAGCAAGCCCCACAGGGACCTCCTTCCTTCCCCTGCTCAGCGGCGGCCCCAGGTTGCTCAGATGGACGCAGCTGTCTTCTAAAGAGGCGAATGGGGCACTGCAACCACCTATGCTTTTCTCTAAGTCGTGCGCCAAATCAATTTTAATATGCATGCTCGCCTGAATCACCAACTAAAATATAAACGTTGTCTGACATTCCGTTTGGTAACGAGCCCACTCCCTGGGGTGGACAGTGCACAGGGAGTCCCCGGCCAGGTGACAGCGGGGAGCCGGGGCCGGGCCATTCACTGGTGAGGATATTGGGGTCTTTCACCCCAAACTGCCCCCGCGGGCGCAGGGCGCAGGCTCACCTCCCGAACAAGCAGGTGCTCAGGCTCAGGGGGAAGTGCGCGCCGTCCAGCCCGCTCCTTCTGATGGTCACCAGGCGGCCCGTCGGACCCATTTTCTAAGGAGAATTGGAGGCCGAGCCGCACGGGAAGGTCAGGCGGAAGCGAACGTAACCAGCAACTCCTCCGGCAGGACACGCGCTGGATAAAACAGACACACAACACGCGGGATGGCGGGAGGGTGTGCTGCTCCGAAAGCAACGAGCCAAGCGGTCCCTGTGAGGCACCGAATGGGGTTCCCTGTTCAACTCACCGGGGCCCTGTGCCAGGCCCCCACCTTATCTGACAGCTGGGAGCCCGGCCGGGCCCGGGCTGCCCCCCGACCCCCGGCGCCCTCCTGCAAGCATCGCCCCGGACCCGCGGCCAGGACGCCCTCCAGGGTCCCGTCCCCTGCGATTCCCTCCAAGACCCCGTGGCCGAGCCGGGCCCAGGCCGCGCTCCCGGGCGGTCCCCGCACAGCCCGAGGGGTCCCCGCGGCTCCCGTCCGCGCCCCGGGCACAGCCCGAGGGGTCAGCGCAGCGCCGGCCCCGCCCCTCGCACTGCCCAGCGGGGAGTCCGCGGCTCCGGCCCCCGCCCCCGCCCCGCGGCGCCCACACTCACCGGCGAATCGCTGCCCCGCCGCCCGGCGTCCTCGGCTCCTCGGGGCGCAGCCCCGGTCCGCGCGGTAGGAGCCCGCCCCGAGTCCACTCGCGCCCACCGCCCGCCCCGCGCTACAGGGTCGGGGCCTCGGCCCGCGGGCGCGCGCCCCCCTCCGCTACCGCCGCCGCCGCCGCCCGCTCCCCGCCGTCGCCCTCCCCGGTGCCCGGAGCCCGCCCAGCCGCGTCCGCAAGCCGCACGGCGTCCGTGGCGCAGGCGCGGAAAGCCTCCCGCCCCGTCTCCGGATTCAAACGAAAACAGAGATTCAAATTTGGCGCAAAACGCTGCGATTGGACGCGGCGGAGCGGCGCCCAACCAATGGGAAGGGGCTATGGGCCCGGGACGGTGCCAGAGAGGCGGGGCCAGGGAGACGGAGCCGGGTGGGCTGCGCGGGGGGCGGGGCCAGAGGGGCGGGCTCCGCCGGAGGGCGGGGCCAGAGAGGCGGGCTCCGCCGGAGGGCGGGGCCAGAGGGGCGGGCTCCGCCGGAGGGGCGGGGCCAGAGAGGCGGGCTGCGCCGGAGGGCGGGGCCAGAGAGGCGGGCTCCGCCGGAGGGCGGGGCCAGAGAGGCGGGCTCCGCCGGAGGGGCGGGGGGAGCGGAAGGGGAGGAGAAGAGAGGGGACGGCCCGGCGGGCTCCGCCGGAGGGGCGGGCCAGAGAGGCGGGCTCCGCCGGAGGGCGGGGCCAGAGAGGCGGGCTCCGCCGGAGGGCGGGGCCAGAGAGGCGGGCTGCGCCGGAGGGCGGGGCCAGAGAGGCGGGCTGCGCCGGAGGGCGGGGCCAGAGAGGCGGGCTCCGCCGGAGGGCGGGGCCAGGGAAGCGGGCGGGCGCGCTGCCGGAGGGGCGGGGGGAGCGGAAGGGGAGGAGAAGGGAGGGGACGGCCCGGCGGGCTCCGCGGAAGCGGGGGCTCTTGGTGCTCATCGGGGACCCCGCCTGCAGCTTCGTCTTTAAGGACCAAACGCGGTTGTACAGCGAACACTGGTGCACAATATGCTGTTAGTTGCTGGGAGGTTTAAATATTTTTTAAAAGTTTTTGTGTGTCCCCAAAGATAACCAATTCACATAAGCCATTTCCCAGCTATCATGTATTATTTTCTTCCAAAAACACACTAAAAAGGTCACGTTCTTCTACATTTGTGTACTCTCTTAATAAACTAGAGGCAAGACGAAACCGGTGTTGCTCAGTGGATAGAGCATCGGCCTGTGGACTGAAGGGTCCCAGGTTTGATTCCGGTCAAGGGCACGGACCTTGGTTGCGAGCACACCCCCAGTAGGAGGTGTGCAGGAGGCAGCCGATCCATGCTTCTAATTCTCTATTCTTCTCCCTTCCTCTCTGTAAAAAAAAATCAATGAAATATATTTTTAAAAAATTAATTGGAGACTACATTTGTAACAAACAGCATCCTTCCCTCTTTTTTCTTTCGGCGGCAGAGTACTGGGCTTTGGAAGCCATCCCTTACCTAACCACCACTACTGCTGTCCTTGCAGGTGATGGTGGTTTCCTCTTAGAAAAAATTCTCCAGTTCAAAACCTGGGGGTGGCAGCAATGGGTGAGTGCCAAAGAGCCACAGGATTTCCCCGCGGAGCCAGTTCCGGGTGGGGGAGCAGGACTTTCGTGGGGCCGGGTATGGTGAAGAGAACGGGTCCAAAACCCGCCAGCCCCTCCTGCCACCCCCCTCCCCTCGCCCGCACCCCTTGGAGCGTGGCCACCCATCCCTCAGGATAATCACCGGGGGCTCTGGGGACCCCATGGCTGGAAGCCACCTCTGCAAGCACACCACGCTGAGCTCTCGGCCCCGCTGGCAGGTTTTCTCACGGGGGGTAGGCTGGGGTTTCCCGGATGCAGAAGCAGAATCCAGTCCATCAGGCACTGCAGAGAACTGCAAACACAGACAGAAAACGCTGCTCTTCACCTCACTGCGCAGAGAGAACTGTTTATGTTAGCACCGAATGAGTGCATCCTGGCTTTCCAAGGGACAGAGGACGTTTTTACCATCACTGGGCTAATAACCAACACGTGCACTTCCTGCTGCTGCAATAAGCCGGAGGTGGGCACGTGTGTTTCAACGTGAATTTAAACGTTACTGGTCAGGTGGAACCCTTTTCTCTGCCTGTTTACATCCCGTCTCTCTGACAGTAACCTCTCTGCGCCGTTTCCCTGCGTATCAGTTAATGTCTTAGAGTTTCCATGGTCAATGTATTCTCCGGAGTCGGTAGAACTTTAAATGTCAGCCCTAACGCCAAAGAAAGCTGAGAAGCCGCTGGCTGGCAGGGGGTGTGGCAGTCTGTGACTCACAGACCAGAGGTGTGTGTGCGTGTGTGTGTGCGTGTGCGTGTGCGTGTGTGTGTGTGTGTGCGCGTGCGTGCGTGCGTGCGTGCGTGTGTGTGTGTGTGTGCGTGTGTGTGTGTGTGTGCGCGCGTGTGTGTGTGTGCGCGTGCGTGCGTGCGTGCGTGTGTGTGTGTGTGTGCGTGTGTGTGTGTGTGCGTGTGTGTGTGCGTGTGCGTGTGCGTGTGTGTGTGCGTGTGCGTGTGCGTGTGCGTGTGCGTGTGTGTGTGTGTGCGTGTGTGTGTGTGCGTGTGCGTGTGTGTGTGCGTGTGCGTGTGCGTGTGTGTGTGTGTGTGCGCGTGCGTGCGTGCGTGCGTGTGTGTGTGTGTGTGTGTGTGTTGGGGGGTGGGGAGAAGTGGCAGGCCAGGCTCCCAAGCAGGTCTGCTGAGGCCTGAGACGGAGCCAGGAGGCTGCTGCGGCCTGAGGCGGAGCCAGGAGGCGGCTGCGGTTTCCTGTGGGCAGGGGAGGGGAGGCAGCCAGAGGCAGGGCTTGTGGTGAGGAAGGAGGGAGCCCCCACCCCCACCCCCCAGCTATGCTCTTCATCACCTCTTAGGAAAGGACGTAGATGTCAGAAACATCCAAACCTATAGAGAACTTTTTAAAAATATATTTTTGTTGATTTCAGAGAGGAAGGGCAGGGGAGGAAGAGAGAGAGAGTGAGAAGCATCAATGATGAGAGAGAATCACCCGTTGGCTGCCTCCTGCACATTCCCTCCTGGGGATCAACCCTGACTGGGAATCAAACCGTGACCTCCCAGTTTGAGAGTGTATTTGAGCCAAGCTGACGACATGTGCTGGGAGCAAGACCTCAAATGCTCTGGGAAACAGTCTTGCCGGTTCCTTTGTGCGTTTGAAAGTCAAGAGAGGAGGAGGAAGTTTGGAGAAAGCAAGGCGGGGGAGTCTGCCAGATCACTGCTCTCCAGTGGGTACTGGGCTTTATGTCAAAGGTGTGCGAGCTCCCTCCATGCACACTCTGTGGGCAGGTCTTTTACTGAAGCCACAGGCCTGGGGCCTGACTGCCACCATCCCCGCCCCGTTAGGAATTCATGACAAGGCCACCCTGTGAGGTTACGTTCCACAGACACCCCCCTCCCCTTTTTTTTCCGTCCACAAATGGTTTTTATTTAAAAATTTAAAAGACAGATGAAACCAGTTTGGCTCAGTGGACAGAGCGTCGGCCTGCGGACTGAAGGGTCCCAGGTTTGATTCTGGTCAAGGGCAGGTACACTCATTGCAGGGGGATGTGCAGGAGGCAGCTGATTGATGTTTCTAACTCTCTATCCCTCTCCCATCCTCTCTGTAAAAAATCAATAAAATATATTTAAAAAACAAATAAAAATAAAAATTTAAAGGACAATCATTGGCAGCTTTTCGAACAAAAATCCAGCTTTTGGCTTCTTGAAAGCTAAGCATCAGGGCACCTTCATCAGCCCCTCCTCCGCCGTCGCAAAGGCGGGAGCCGGGGTGGCAGCCCTGGGGGCAGGGGGAGGAGTCCCTGCTTGCGCCCCGCTGCACTTCTCTGGCTGCCTTATACCCCCGGGGTCGCCCCACAACCCCCACCCCCTTCTGGAGACTCCGAGTGTGATCGCTGGGGCAGCAGCGCCATCTGGCGGCCAGGCAGGGCCAGTGGTGGCCCAGGGAGTGACCGCCAAGGTCAGAGCTAGGAGGGTGCAGGTCAGCCAGGACGGTGCAGGTCAGCCAGGAGGGTGCTGGTCAGCCAGGAGGGTGCAGGTCAGAGCCAGGAGGGTGCAGGTCAGCCAGGAGGGTGCAGGTCAGCCAGGAGGGTTCAGGTCAGAGCCAGGAGGGTGCAGGTCAGCCAGGAGGGTGCAGGTCAGCCAGGAGGGTTCAGGTCAGCCTCAGAACGTCGGGCTGCGTGGGTGCGACAAGTAGAGGACGACTCCATGTTCCCACCTGGCGAGGTGCCGAGGTCGTGGCACTTTTCAGTCCCCAGGGTTGGAGACTGGGCCGCCTGGGCCACCTGGAGCCCTGGTGTCCGCCCCACAGCCGCGTCATCTGGGAGGGGACAGAGCCAGGAGGACAATCCGTCTCCTGCCCTCTCTCCCGCCTTCGAGTCTGTCTCCCGGGAGAAGAAACCTCCCATTCCACAGGTGGGCGTGGAGGCTCAGGGTGCCGGGCGTGGTCCTCGCCCCACGGGCAGGCAGGGTGCAGCAGTGACCCCGCCTTCCTGCCGTTCGGTGCCCAGAGCCCTCCCTGCAGCTCCAGTGACCGTCCCGCTGTGAGTGAGGCCTGGCCGCCTGAGCACCTGGTCCCGGCTGAGACGTTTCCCGTTGAGTATGGGAGGCGAGACTCAGGTGCAAAGGGTCAGCAGACTTCACACTGCTCCGTGGCCGAGCCCTCTGCTTCGGGATGTTCTGGAAAGCTCCAGGGGAGCAGGCGGGATGTGGAGAGGAGGCGGCTGGGAAGCAGGGACAGGTGGGGGTGGAGTGGGGGAGGGGAGGAGGAGGGAGGGGAGGGGAGGGCAGAGGTGCAGTCTGGAGAGCCAGTGAGGAGAGGGGTGTGAACCCTGGGCAGTGCTCAGGCGGC